CTTTCTCTTTGAGACCCTTTCAGTTTTTCAACTAGTTTATGTTCTTGATCTGAATTAAGGCCAGTATAGTAGTTCCCCCATCCTTTTATTTTTTTAGATTATTTATTTACTTATTTAATTTATTTTTGACTGCATCAGGTTTTAGTTGAGGCATGCAGGATCTTCGTTGAGGCATGCAGGATTTTTCGTTGCGGTGCGTGGGCTTCTCTCTAGTTGTGGCGTGCAGGTTTTCTCTTCTATAGTTGTGATGTGCAAGCTCCAGGGCACGTGCGCTCTGTACTTGCGGCGCGGGTTCCAGAGTGCGTGGGCTCTGTAGTTTGCGGCATGCAGGCTCTCTAGTTGAGGCGTGCGAGCTCAGTAGTTGTGGTGCGCAGGCTTTAGTTGCCCTGCAGCATATGGGATCTTAGTTCCCTGACCAGGGATCGAACCCACTTGCCCCTCATTGTAAGACAGATTTTTTACCACTGGACCACCAGGGAAGTCCCCCCTCATCCTTTTAGAATGAAACTGTCAGCAAGATTTTATTAGATTTTCAGTCCCTACCCCCTTTTAAGATAAATTTGATATCCAACTAATGATGAGGTACCTGAAGTTTCCTATCTCTAACATCATCATTACCAGGCCAATTTGGGGATCTGAACCAAGAAACTAATCTATATTCTCCATTATCGAGCAGGCTGAAGTGTACTCCAGCAGCTGTATCATGTCCATTACTCTCTTTTATCCTCATTCAGAAATTCTTTAGTGTGGTTTATAGATTTCTACTGGGAATATCATTTTGAGACACACTGCCGTCCCACTTCCCCCTTTAAGATTTGAATGAGATTTGCCCATCATTGGCATACGGCATTCACAAATTCATTAAACTCAGATTTTTGTGGATAGGGACCATGTCTTATTTATTTCATAAAAGTCATGAACTTTAACTGATTTTGGATATCTCTATTATAGATGTCTTTTTAAAAAAAATAATAAACTTCCTTTATTCCTTTGCTTTTTCTCTTTCCTTCAGTCCTTTTTATTTTATCTTATTTATTTATTTTTTGGCTGTGCTGTGTGGCTTGCAGGATCTTAGTTCCCCAACCAGGGATCGAACCCGTCTGTGCCCCCTGCAATGGAAGTGCAGAGACCTAATCACTGGACCACCAGGGAATTCCCTAGATGTCTTCAGTTAAGATATTGGCAACTTAATTTTCAGATATTTTCTTTTGTGGCTTAATAGTTACCTCTCCCATTGCTTTTCTTATGTCATTCCTGATGTTCTTTCCCAGTTTTATCTGGGAATTTTTCTCTCTTTATCTTCAATTTTAAGCTCTCATAATCAGATTGGCAAGTATTCAGACAAACATGTTCTTCCTACTCCCTGTCAACAACACTCTTTTAGCAGGCTGAGAGCCCATCATCATTCGTATATTTACTAATCAGTATGGAGCCATATGCTGTGCTTGGTGCTGAGTATGCATTTGTGAGCATGGAAGACTTGGCCCTTGCACCTCTCTAAACTTATAGGCTAATGGGAGCAGGTAGACAATAACATAAGCTTTTATAACACTGTGTGCCTGGGTGGAAGACAGTAAAAACTTCCGGATGAAGAAGTGGGATTTAGACTGATCTAAAGGGCGAATAGGAGTAAGCCAGGATTGGGAGGAAGGGAAGGAGAAGAATGTTCCAGCAGGATCTGGAAGGTCAACTCCAATTTATTGACAGTCATAAACATTCCTCCTTTCTTTCTGAAGTCTCAGCCATCAAATGGAAGCAGAGAGAAAAATTGTTACTAAAGGCCTCCCCCACCCCTAGGTTCTCCAAATCCTTTAGATTTTTTTTCCCTAGAAAGACTTTCCAGGGTTCTTCTGGTTGTGTGGTTCACCCCCTTATTAACCAGCTGGAATGGGTAGCAGCTGGCAAGCTGCCTTTGGGTTCTTCCTTATAGGGAGTGACCAATTATGCACCCTCCCCCCGCCACTCCCCCCAACCCCTGTCTCCTTCTGGGAAGCTGGATGACTTTGCACTTGCTGATGGTGAGGAGCTTCCTGTTTATTCTCCAGATTTCTGTTTTTTTCTATGTTTCTATTCTGTGTTATATTCTTCTGCCCCTCAGCCTCTTGACATGAATTTTCTCCTGTGACAATTTAGAAATGTTTACTTCCTTATTTTCTTGTTGAATTATTTCCTCCATTGTCTCTGGGAGTTCTTCATCCTCTTTGATAACCTTTGTCTGGAGAGTGGTATTTAAGCCTGAGAATAGAGATGCCAGCTTATGTTTAGTAAACATGCTGTTGGCAAAAAACCTCCAGCAGGAAAGCGAGTGTGGCACAGTTGCCCCACTGCAAGGGCCTTGGAGCATCCCCTGTTTAGTGCTAAAGCTCCTAAAAGCAGCTATAATCCTTTACCCCTTTGTAGAGCTCCCTAACTCATTATCTTTGGTCTTGATAGGAAGACTATAGAGTATCAACAGACTCATCATTTGGTGGCATAGTTTAAAGTACCCCGCCACCCCCGTCACGTGGCTTGTGGGATCTTAGTTCCCCGACCAGGGATTGAACCTGGGCCCCAGCAGTGAAAGCACCGAGTCCTAACCACTGGACTGCCAAGGAATTCCCTAAAGTACTTTTTTAAACATTATGTTCAGATGTCCTTATTATATATATATTTTAGTTAAAGACTATATAAAATTGGTACATTTTATTTTGGGGGTGGATAATATAGTCACATGATTTAAACTTAAAAAGGTACAGAGGAGAATTTGGTAAATATTCTCCTTCTTGCCATGTCTCTCAGCCACCTAGTTCTCTGAGGCAACCAACGTTACCAGTTTCTTGTATATCCTTCCAGAGTAATTTTGTGCATAGACAAAGACACGACTTAGTATATATGTCATAATATATATGTCAGATAACATATCTGCTGATGAGATGAATGATGTGTATCCTGTATTTCTCAAGGCCACTTAGTGAGTGGGAAGACTGGAATTTGAAAAGTTTTGAATTCAAACCTCAAAACCTCAGCTATGCCATTTATTAGTTGAATGACCTTGGGCAGTTTGCTTAGACTCTGTATGCTTTGATTTCTTTATGTGGTTAATAATGCTCAGTGTGCCAAGGCTGTTGAGTATGATGTATGTACAGTTCTTCCTCTGGTGCATGTCAAAATGCTTCACAAATGGTTGCTACCTTTGCTCTTTCTTGCTGGACCACACTCTTTGGCCTGTGTGAACTGGGAGGGGCAAAGTCTTGCTGTAAAAAATGAATGGATTGAATTGCCTTTACTGTAATATGTGATCAATGCTCTCTACTTATGAAGGGAACCATGAGCCAAGGGAGATAGAAATAGCACTTTGAAAAGAATAGAACATTTTTTGCTCCCCAGGTATTGGAGAACAGCTGTTCCTGGTCTGGGGTCTTCACACTTGGCTGGTGGAGTGCTGATAAACCCTAGGACTTCACTTCCCCTGGTAGGAAGTTATTAACACTGAGGCGCTTTTCATGTTTAATGGCTGAATTAGCTCCGGCCCTTCAGTATTGCTTGAAGCTTTGGACTCTTATGGGAAGCTTCACTTGGTCAGTCCTATTTTGGGTTTCCTGCTATTCAGTTCCCATTGTTATGTTAATCCTTTAATAGCAGTTAGCTTTCATTCTTTTTGGTTCTTGCACAATGCTTGATGTAATAGATGGAAGAGTCTCGAATTTCAGAACCAGTCCCATGTGGTTTCATCAGGAGGATGGTGTTAAGCCTTCCTTCATGGTTATCTGGACTCAGCATTCTTTTAAAAATTATTATTTATTCTTTTTTATTTTTGGGTGCTTTGGGTTTTCCTTGCTGCGCGCGGGCTATTCTCTGGTTGTAGCCGGTAGAGGCAACTCTTCCTTGAGGTGCAACTCTTCCTTGAGGGCTTCTCATTGTGGCGGCTTCTCTTGTTGTGGAGCACAGGCTCTAGGCGCGCGGGCTTCAGTAGTTGTGGCACGTGGGCTCAGTAGTTGTGGTTTGTAGGCTCTAGAGCACAGGCTCAGTAGTTGTGGCGCATGGGCCCAGTTGTTCCACAGTAAGTGGGATCTTCCCAGACTAGGGATTGAACCTGTGTCCCCTGCATTGGCAGGCGGATTCTTAACCACTGCGCCACCAGGGAAGGTCCCTAGTTTGCTCATTTTTAAACAAAGTCATAATGGGTGTTGAATTTTATTCAGTGCATTTTCAGCATTTGTTGAGACGGTTATATACGTTTTCTTCTTTAGTATCTGGTAATATAGAAAATTGTGTTGGTAGATGTCCCTAGGTTAAACTGTCTTTTCATTCCTAGGATAAGCCCTCTTTGGTTATGATGTATTTGTCCTCTGTTAAACTACTCTTTCTACAACATCAGAGTTATCTGGACCATGAAGGTTTAATAGAATATGGCATAAAAACCATCTGAGCCTGTAGGTATTTTTTTTGTGTGTGTGTAGGGGATATTTGACAACTCTTGTTTTTTCATTCACATTTCTTTGATGCTCAGTGGTCACTAGTACTTTTAAAAGTGAATCTTAAAAGTTCCTTGGTTTTTCCTCCTCTGCCCTCTAAATGTTAATGTTCTTTAGAGTTCTGTTGTTCATTATTCATTCATACATATTTATTAGATATTATTAGAGATATTTATTAATGCCAGGCACAGGGCTAGGAACTTCCCTCCCTGCTGCTAGATTTTTTCCTTCTAGTCTGGCTTCCCCACTGCTGGCAGAGTCATTTTTAGCTGGGAGAGGAAGACTAAATGTATTTCATACCTTCTCTTAAAAATCTCTGTTAAGGGACTTCCCTGGTGGTGCAGTGGTTAAGACTCTGCCTGCCAGTGCAGGGGACATGGGTTTGAGCCCTGGTCCGGGAAGATCCGACATGCCGCGGAGCATCTAAGCCCGTGTGCCACAACTACTGAGCCCACACGCTGCACTACTGAAGCCTACGTGCCTAGAGCCTGTGCTCCGCAACAAAGGGATGCCACCGCAATGAGAAGACCCTGTACCGCAACGAAGAGTAGCCCCTGCTCGTTGCAACTAGAGAAAGCCCGCGTGCAGAAACGAAGACCCAACACAGCCAGAAAAAAAAAAAAGTCTCTGTTGAGTCCTTCATGTGTATAGGATCATGGGCCTTTCCTGTGTGGCTCAGCCTCCATGTCAGCTCATATCCCACCATTCTCTGTCATATACACTGGACACACTGGCTACACTGTATCCCCCAGTAATCCCTGTTCTTTCATGACTCTGCCTTTACACATTTTGTTTTCTCTAAAGAGAATTCTTGTCTCTTCCTGGCAAATTTCTATTCACCCTTCAAGGCACTCTTTTAAAAAGATTTGTTGTTGGCCAGAACATGCTGAGCGGAGTGTGCGGCCGGCTCGCCTCAGCGCTGTGGGGGACACGTACACAGCCATCTGCGGTCGCCCAGAGGTATCTGCACATGTTGTCCACAGACAAGAGCGAGAGGACAAGGAAACCTCCCCGCGCCTTCGACCCAGCGCTGCTGGAGTTCCTGGTGTGCCCGCTCTCCAAGAAGCTGCTCAGATATGAAGCATCGACAAATGAATTGATTAACGAAGAGTTAGGAATAGCCTATCCAATTATTGATGGGATTCCTAATATGATACCACAGGCAGCCAGGATGACACATCAAAATAAGAAGCAAGAAGAAATGGAGCAGCATTAGATCATACTTAAAAATAACAACACACACAACTAAATTTTCTAAATACCATCCACCTTTTAAAAAGTCGGAGTGACGGGTAATAAGTGGAGGAAAAGAATGTTTCTGTCTCTTCCTGCGTTGACTGTCCTTATTCCATTGGTCTCTTTAGCAGGACTGTTATACTCGTCCTCTGTGGAAGAAAACTTCCCACAGGGCTGCACTAGCACAACCAGCCTGTGCTTTTACAGTCTGCTCTTGCCGATTACCATACCCGTTTATGTGTTCTTCCACCTTTGGACTTGGATGGGTATTAAACTCTTCAGGCATAATTAATACAACCAGAGCCAAGATGGTGTATCCTCGTGATATGCTTGAGTGTCTGTCTCTGAAAGCCCAACTACATGGAAATACTGGACACCCACTTAATTTGCACGAAAGATGCTTTGCCTGGCTTCTGTCAGAGGTTTAGGACTAGGGGAGGCTTAAGCTGCAGAGGCTTCTTTATTGTACTTTGGTCTTCCCTTGTTTTTTGAAGGTTCTCATTTATACCTGGGGTATCAGAAGAAACATTTCAACAAAGTGTCTTGTTGGAAGTTAATAGCCCCAGACATCATCTGATGGCTTTATTTCTTATCCCATTCATAATTAAAAGTTACTAATTTGAAATTTTATATGTTTATTTTACATTCAAAGTCTGGTAAAGTCACATGTTAAGGATGACTGAAGTAATTCTAGAGGAGCTCTGTTGGAGTAGTTGTAGAGAAATGCATTTGAACTAATGTGGTATAAAACTGTAATAAAATGGAAATTTCATGTATTTGCCAAAAAAAAAAAAGATTTGTTTTTAATTCTCGTAGAGAGTTTGAATCCCATAGTACTCTGTTCATAGATCTGTCTTAGAACTTATCAAATTATATGATGCTGATCCATTTATACATGTCTCCATGTTTAAATGACTGTAACCTGCTCAGAATGGGTCTTTCTCTCTCTAAATTATGTCTCCTCAACAGCTACTGTACTGCTTAGCATAGAGTAGGCCCTCAGCAAATACTTGTGAATGCTTGACTGACTACATGAGTGGATGCCTGAAAGAGCTCTGCTGTGCTCTTGCCTTGAAGGGGGATACTACTGCTACTAGTCATGGAAGGTTGCCAGAGAGGAAACAAGTCTCTGCACTAAAACAATGTCTACTTGAATAGTCCCTCTTTCTTCTTCCCTTCCCCCAAGATGCGTGTGTGTGTGTGAGGGGGGTGTGTGTGTTTGTGGGGACATAAACTTAGAAAAGTATATATCTATTAGTATTTTTCTGTTGACTTTAACTTTTAAATTATTATTATTTTTTAATTTATTTATTTATTTATTTTTGGCTGTGTTGGGTTTTCGTTGCTGTTCGCGGGCTTTCTGTAGTTGCGGCAAGCGGGGGCTACTCTTCATTGCGATGCGTGGGCTTCTCATTGCAGTGGCTTCTCTTGTTGCGGAGCGCGGACTCTAGGTGTGCCGGCTTCAGTAGTTGTGGCTCGTGGGCTCTAGAGCACAGGCTCAGTAGTTGTGGCGCATTGGCTTAGTTGCTCTGCGGCATGTGGGATCTTCCCAGACCAGGGCTCGAACCTGTGTTCCCTGCACTGGCAGGCGGATTCTTAACCACTGCGCCACCAGGGAAGTCCACTTTTAAATGATTAAAACATGAAAACAGCTGTAGGGTGATGGGATTTTTGGTTGACCTTTTCCTTTTTTTTTTTTAATTAAACAAACATTTTAAAATATAGTAATAAGTCAATAAGGGAACTGAACCAGATTCAGGATTGAAATAATGCAGTCTTTTTTAAAAAAACATTTATTTATTTGGCTACGTCGGGTCTTAGTTGCAGCATGTGGGATCTTCATTGCAGCATGCAGGATGTTTCGTTGTGACACATGGTCTTCTCTCTAGTTGTGGCGCGTGGGCTCAGTACTTGCAGTGCGTGGGCTTAGTTGCCCCAAGGCATGTGGGATCTTAGTTCCCCGACCAGGGATCGAACCCACATCCCCTGCATGGGAAGGTGGATTCTTAATCACTGGACCACCAGGGAAGTCCTGAAATAATGCAGTCTTCCATGAAGATATCAAAGCCATATTTTTCACCTCAACCTCCAACATTTCATGTAGGTTAAGGATGTCCCTCAAGCATCTCTAAGCCCTCCGTCCCCCAGCTTCTAACTCATGGCGTTCTGCATGGTGACCTGTGTAGGACCACCAATGCTTATACACAGTGGACCACCTTAGACTCTCAGGAGGCCTGGCCCAGCCTGCAGAGACTGACGGCAGCCCACCCTCAGCCGTTCAGTCCTGGAGGCACCCGCTGGCTGACCGCTTCCTTTTTTTTTTTTTTTTTTGACAGATTTTCTTACATTATTTCATAACAGAAGTTATGAAATAAAATCAGAAAGTTTTTCTTAAAACTTTTTCCTTCCAAGATGCAGTAAAACCCTATTTAAGAAAGCACTGGGGACTTCCCTGGTGGCGCAGTGGTTAAGAATCCACCTGCCAATGCAGGGGACATGAGTTCGAGCCCTGGTCTGGAAAGATCCCACACGTCGAAGAGCAACTAAGTCCGTGTGCCATGACTACTGCGCTCTAGAGCCTGCAAGCCACAACTACTGAAGCCCACACGCCTAGAGCCCATGTGCCATGACTACTGAGGCTGCGCTCTAGAGCCTGCAAGCCACAACTACTGAAGCCCACACACCTAGAGCCTGTGCTCTGCAACAAGAGAAGCCACTGCAATGAGAAGCCTGTGCACCTCAACGAAGAGTAGCCCCTGCTCGCCGCAACTAGAGAAAGCCCACGCGCAGCAACGAAGACCCAATGTGGCCAAAAATAAATAAATTAAATAATTAATTAAAAAAAGAAAGCACTGGCTCTTACATGTAAGGCTTACATATGTTGGGTTCTATTATCAATGAAACATTAATTCATTTAAACCTCAACGTTCCTATGAGCAGGGTACTCATCACTTTTAACAGATAAGGAAACAGCACAGAGCTAGTAAGTTGTAGAGCTGGGATCGAGCAGAGTGGTTACTCCAGTAGTTAGAAGTGCTGAATTTAATATTGCTCCACCTCTAGCTTCATTTAAAGTTTGGGTGCCCAAACAGCACCACTGTTATAGTGATTTGAATTAGTAGCAGAGTTACTAAGGTTTAAGGGTGGCAGTCTTGGGGGAGAATACTTTGCTAGGGACTCAGCACTTCAAAACTGATTTGTCAAATTTACTCCCAAACCTTCCCCTCCCCTTTTTTCTGACTACAAAAGTAACGCATGTTTATTGTAAGGAAAAACTGGGGAAATACAGGAAAACACCAAGATTTCAGAGTGTTCATCTTAACACTTAGTGGTGGTAATAACTACTGCAAACATTTTCATATTTTTATGTATTCAGACTTTAAGAAATGAAAATGAGATTCTGTTGTTACCTATTTGTTAATGATCTGTGTTAATGTTTAATGAGCATTTTTTCATCTTAATGTTACATTCTGTGTACTACCATTGTTTCACCAATTTATATTTTGAGGTGATTTGTACTGTTTTGTTAATTATCCTTATTGATGAAAATGTTCACAGATCGAGGTTATTTTTCTGGGAGTGGAATTGCGGGGTCAAAGAATATGCTGTTTTTTATAGTCTTTTAGTGACTGCTTGAGTGCCTTTGCTGAACCCTCACCAACACTAGGTAGTAGCATTGAGCGGGGTGGAAGGGAACCTTGGCTGGTTTTGGTTACATTTCCATGATTACTAATGAGGTTGAATATTTTCTGTAACTTTATTGGCCAGTTGAGTTTCTTTGAAGAATTGCTTATCCATCCTTTACTTGTTATTAATTATTCAAGTATTTTTGCTGAGTGCCAAGCACTGTTGTAAACCTCAGATATAAGGCAATAAAATAATAATAAAAGAAAAAGAAAGCAAGCACTGGCTCTTTTATTTATTTTAGGCTGCATCGGGTCTTAGTTGTGGCACGCGGAATCTTCTTTGAGGCACCCGCGTGCCTTTTTTCGTTGTGGTGCTTGGGCTCTTTGTTGTGGTGTGTGGACTTCTCTCTAGTTGTGGCCTGTAGTTCTCTAGTTGTGGCCCACAGGTTCCAGAGCATGAGGGCTCTGTAATTTGCAGCATGTGGGCTCTAGTTGAGGCACGCGAGTTCAGTAGTTGTGATATGTGGGCTTTAGTTGTCCCCCTGGTGTATGGGATCTTAGTTCCCTAACCAGGGATCGAACCCGTGTCCCCTGCATTGGAAGGCGGATTCTTTACCACTGGACCACCAGGAAAGTCTCAGCACTGGCTCTTTTTTTTTTTAATTTTATTTATTTTATTTTTGGCTGCGTTGGATCTTTGTTGCTGTGTATGGGCTTTCTCCAGTTGCGGCGATCGGGGGCTACTCTTTGTTGCGGTGTGCGGGCTTCTCATTGTGGTGGCTTCTCTTGTTGAGGAGCATGGGCTCTAGGCACGCAGGCTCAGTAGTTGTGGCGCACGGGCTTAGTTGCTCTGTGGCATGTGGGATCTTCCCAGACCAGGGCTTGAACCCATGTCCCCTCCATTGGCAGGCGGATTCTTAACCACTGCACCACCAGGAAAGCCCCTGGCTCTTTTTAAAATTAATTAATTAATTAAAAAATAATTTTATTTTTGGTTGTGTTGGGTCTTCATTGCTGCACACAGGCTTTCTCTAGTAGTGGGGAGCGGGGGCTACTCTTCATTGCAGTGCGCGGGCTTCTCATCGTGGTGGCTTCTCTCGTTGCAGAGCATGGGTTCTAGGCACGCGGGCTTCAGTAGTTGCGGCACATGCAGGCTCTGTAGTTGTGGCTCGCAGGCTCCAGAGCGCAGGCTCAGTAGTTGTGGCACACGGGCTTAGTTGCTCCGCAGCATGTGAGATTCTCCTGGACCAGGGATTGAACCTGTGTCCCCTGCATTGGCAGGCAGATTCTTAACCACTGCAACCACCAGGGAAGTCCCAAGAGCGTAGTTTTTAGGTTGAAAATTCAGCAAACTTCACCTTGCTGCCTTATAGCAAGCTAGTGTATTTTAGCTCAGATTCTGTTTCCTGGCAGATTGATGTGGACTAAAGGGATTACTAGACATTACAAGAAAATTCACAATGAAGGAAAGGTGGGAAAACAGGCATAAGAGGAAGGTAATTTACTAATGCATCTGTCACTGAAATTAATGGGGAAATGGCATATTTGCTGAAATACGGAGGTAACCTCACATTTGTTAAAAGGCAGACACTGAGTCTTATATTGAATCACTTTCCTTATTTAGGTATTCAGTGCAGGGTGACTGATTGCATTTTTTGCATGGTGTTTGTCCTGAGCAAAATTGTTCCTGTATTATGATGAGAAATACTCTCAAGTCAGTTTGATGCTGTTAAAAAGGATTAGTGCTCAGGATGGCAGTGTTAATCTCCAGAGCTGCCAGTGTAGGGACAAAAGCAT